TATAAAGCGGGCGAGGAGGATCCGTGTCCAGCAAACTACGGCGACACAGGCACGCGGCAACATGTACTCCGCAGCTGCATTCGGGCTCCTCATCTTGTCCTTCGTTGTTGTGAGTTCCGAGTGGTGCTTTTTGGGGTGTTGTTTCGATCGGAAGAATTGCTGATTATAGAGCCTGGTCACGTATAGTTTGCGTTTCTTTATTGCCATCAGCCTTTATCGAGACGGTTGACTCCATGACACTGCATCTATTATACATTAGTTACGATTCTCCTAGAAGACAGTCTCCGAAATTAGCGCATATCTAAAGAATGCGAGATAACTGCTTCATTACTCGAGAGGAATATAAATAGATCTTGTCAGCTCCCACTTCCACTGCCAAGAAGTTTTGTTTACGGCGGGAGTGTTTTATGAATATAAAACTCTAAACACAGAATGCTAATAAAAGATTATATACATATATATCTGTTTATGTATGTGTATGCGTTGTGTGTGTGTGTTGTGTGTGTGTGGTGTGTGTGTGTGCGTGTGTGTGTGTGTGTGCGTGTGTGTGCTCGCAGCAACTTTAGGAAATTTTGTGCTAGACATAACAATTAGTCCGCATTTAGAACGAATTTGTGAAAAAAAAAGTTAAATGACCTTTTCTGTTCTTTTCAGGTGAAGGACGTGACCTGCGCTAACGGGGGAGAGAGGTAAGTCTACTTCCGTTTGCAAATCTAATCTGATGAGTATATATTTTTTCTTATCGTAGCGTCTTATTCCGTGCATTATGTTACGTACTAACAAAAAAAAAAATCTTTCCTGATGTCTTCTATTTTCACACTCTAGAAACTTACCTTTTCCTTCTTTATTTCATTTATTTTTCTACTTACTTATATTTCACGTCAGAATAGTCGTCCTCCCATGTTTTCATTTTGTGTCTCCTTTCAGTTTTTTTTCTTTTTTCCACCTAAATCTATCCCGGTTGATTATCAGAACTGTGTTAATTAATCCTTCTTATCTTCTTGGCGCAACCTTAACAAACCCTGGCACCATTTTTCTTTGTGTGTGTGTGTTTTTTGTTGTTTTTGTTTTTTGTTTTTTGTTTTGTTTTTATGATGGCACCATTTTTCTTTTTTGTGTGTGTTTTTTTGTTGTTTTCGTTTTTGTTTGTTTGTTTGTTTATGATGGCACCATTTTTCTTTTGTGTGTGTGTTTTTCTTTGTTGTTCGTTTTGTTTTTGTTTTTTGTTTGTTTGCTTATGATGGCACCATTTTTTCTTTTTGTGTGTGTTTTCTTTGTTGTTTTCGTTTTTTTTGTTTGTTTGTTTATTTGTTTGTTTATAGATAATGCAGTGCAAACATTGTCTGTGTTTTCCTTTCCCAGTTCGTCGCACAGCCTGACATGCACGGTGGAAGGGCGAAACAGTCACCCCACAGACTGCACCAAGTACGTCGAGTGCATTCGCGTGGGCGGCAAACTCACGCCCCGAGTCGGTGTCTGTGAGAATTCCGCTTTCAATCCCGCGACTAAGAATTGCGTTAGTTTTAGGGTGAGTTTTTCTGTTGGTTGTTGAGTTAGGTTCTGTTAAATCGATTGGGGAATGGGTTGATTCGACTCGTTTCGAATTATGGATACCCGGGTGCATGGAATATATATAAAAAAAAAAAGAAATGTCACCTTTACTCTCTCCAATATTTGTGTTTCTTAAAGTATAATGCTTTTATTTCCGATTCGTCGAAAGCGCACTGTATCTGTGCTAAATTTACTTTAAGAGTGTAACACAATATTTTAGTAACCACGTGTTCTTCAAATACATCAGTGTTTTATGAAGCTAAATTTACTTTGAGTCCAACACAATATTTTAGTCTTCATGTGTTCTTCAAAGACATCAGTGTTTTATGATGCGTCTGACGCCCCGCCCTCCTTCGCCCCATTTCAGGACACGGCTTGTCAGCAGCCCCGCAGGCAAGCGCGTGCTTTATTCGAGGACAACGCCTTCAGCTACATGTGTTCTGAGGGCAAGGATGGATTCTTTTGTGCAGACTGCAAGACGCTGATCAACTGCGTGGACAGACACGCGTACAAACTGACCTGCGTCAACGGGGACATGTGCGCCCACAAGGAGAGCTTCGGCGGCGGGATCTGCTATCCAAAGGAGCCTGCTGAGTGCACCTGCCAAGAGCCAAACTCTTTCAAAGAAGACCTGTATGATAATCGGAAGTTCTTCTACTGTAACGACACCTCCTCAGATCCTGTATTCTACGAGTGTGACGAAGGGAGCGCATTTGACGCCGAGAAATCTCAGTGCAAGAACAAGAATGGTTTGCCCGAATGCCATCGGTCAGGTGTCTTCGCTGATATCAACAACTGCACGCAATATTACGCTTGCATCTCAACCAGAAACGGATGGGTGCAGAAGGCCTTCAGCTGCAACCAAAGTAACCTTATGTACAACGACCTGACGGGCGCCTGTGAGGACCCTTGCACCTGGCAGGTAGGATCGTTTGCTTGCACTGCAGAA